GATTTAAAACATTTCTTGCTTTATAAAGGTTTTAATTAGTATTCATAGGTTTTACACGTCTTACAGTGTTAAACCACCACAACTGAAATGTTTGTTATTCCTTTCATCCATTCTAATCAGTTTCTCAAGCACCAATACAACATTTCAATATTCAGATTAAATAGTTCTGTTTTTTTTTTTTTTTTTTTTCCAAAAAAAAAAAGAACAATCTCACGGAAAAAAATAATTATTTTTTTCCGTGAGATTGATCTTGTCTTTACTGTAAAAAAAAAAAAAAAAAGTTTTTTTTTTTTTTTTTTTTTTTTTTTTTTTTACAGTAAAGACAAGATCAATCTCACGGAAAATAATAATTAGTCTTTTTCTAATGGTATTAAAATGATTTAATGCACAAAACTTATACCTACACTGTTCAAGATGCTCCTTTTTGTAATTAATATGATGCACACTGAAAGGCCACTATTTAATAATGTTAAATCTTATCATATAAGTAGTAGTTGTTAAACCTCTGCTGCCCTCTCAAACTTTGCATCCCTTTAATTCTCATTAAGAGGAAGCAAAAAACTCACTTTCATTTCATCAGTGCAACTCACCTTTGAACCCTCCTACCACTGGTTCTCCATCCTCTTTCAAACACAAGCTTCTTACCAACTTCTGATCTCTACAAAATACCAGTCTTCCTGTATCAAGTTTGTGTTCCTTCTGCTCTGCCAACATTTCCAGCTGTGTCTGCACGTTTATTAGCTTCTCCTAAAGTCACATGCATCAATCAATCATAGGAATCAAACCTCACTGATCTGATCTTCAAAGCTCCTAAACTCCACATACAGTCAAGGTCTACTCTGTTCTGCTGTTTAGGTAGAATCAAGTTGACTTGCACAGAAATGATGCTGGGCTACTAGCTCTGCTATGGTTAAAGCCGAGTCTTGGTTACTATGTATGAGTCAATTTTGCTAAGTGCATTAAAATCAGTATGCTTACTTGAATTAACAACTGCTGAACTTCAGGGAGCTATGGAATAGGTCCAGGTAAACACTGTTTGAACTAAGGACTTCTGGGATGCAGCCTACCTCAAAAAGTCATGAATGACATCAATTTTTTCAGTTCTTATGACTATGAATACTGATGTTACAGAGGCACATGCACACTTTTGGGTTCAAACTCGGAAGTGTTTGATCAAGAAATGTTTCAGATAGTTCCATCCAGGATGGAACTGCTTTCAATATCCAAGATGCTCTGAAACTGACAAGCATAGTGAGATGGCCTTGCAAGTTCCTTGACAGGGACTGCATACACTTTGGGAAAGGGAAGCAAAAGGTTGAGATGATCCATCATGGTGCCCGTGATGGCAGAACCTTCTTCCCTACAATGTTTTATGCCACCTATGCTGAAATGTCTAAGGCTTCTGCTGCCATCTGACAGGTGTATGTAGACATATGCACTTTTCTGTCTAGTTTACTCAAGGAGCTCTTTGTGCACTGCTGACACAGCTGATAAGCCAGAGCCACATGAACTTGCTAAAAACTACGTCAGTGTGCAGGCATACTGGTGGGTCTCCTATCACAGCTGCTGCTTGTTGACAGAAGCCCACAAGCATATTTAAGGCTTTTTTTCCCCCCATAGTTCACTTTCATTCAACAAAGCTGATTCATTTCACCAAGACATCTCATACCTCTCAATCCTTCTATGCTGTGTAGGGCTTTATAAACAAACTCTTTTCACTAACACTTGTTGATGCAAGTAGAGTATGGAGACCGGGGCTCTCCCCTAACCCGCTTTGCTTTTTCTACCTGGTTACCTGTTGTGCTCGCATGGTCCTTCCAGCTGTGTTCCAAGCAAGAGGCCAGAAGGCAGGCAGAGCAGGTAATGACTGGCAAATGGGGGAAGCCTCCTTGTGCTCAACAATCATTAATTCCCTCACCAAACTCCTGCCAATACTTCTGCTTCCCAAAGAAACAAGGTAAATTTACTACCTAAAAGCTTAGCAAGTACAGAGTTAAACTTAGTTGATCCAGCAACGCTTTGTATATCCTTCACCCAAATATCAGATGCTGTATTACAGAACTGATTTCTGGTTTTCAGAGGCTTAAGATACACACCCTAACGTTCAACTAATTCTTCACTCTTTTGAGCCTTAATCCCCCCTCAGGACACCACAGCATTCTGATGTCTGCATCAGGGAGGTTAAACATCTGCCCATGGAGCTTCTTGTGGGCTGGATTTGGCCCACGGGGCTGGTTGCTGAAGCTCCCTGTGGCAGAAGTGTTAACTGCTGTGGCTGCTGGAACTGCTGTTTCAGTATGTCTGGAACTTGGGGAGTTAACACTACTCACCTACCCTACTCCCCACCATTGCCCACTGCCAAAATTGGGGGTTTTAGTCACCCCGTAAAAACAATAGCAAAATAAATGGCAGGGGGAGGAGGGCAAGCAGAAGTGGCATTAACTCCTGGGGTTCCACAGCTGTGCTGAAACAGCAGCTCTGGCAGCTGTAGGGATTAACTCTGCTGTTCACGGGCCATCTGTCTACGGGAAGTGCTGTGAATCTGCATCAAGCCCAAACGACTATGACACTCCTACTCTCCAGGACAAGGAATCCAGCAGTGATGCAGCAAGTAATTACTGGAGATATTCTCATTACGGCACAAGCTGCATTAAGAGCAGTCTTAGCAAACAGGGGTGGCTATGCCTTACCTATAATCATCTACTTCCAGGACAGCACACAAAGCAACAAAAAACTCTCCCTGTGACTGAAGGGCATTTGTACCCAAAAGCTTGCAAAGAACATTTTTTCCAGCTATTTAATTGCTCTAATAAAAGCTATCACATTTACCCAAAGACGTAGGCAGACAAGGTTCCTTAGACCAACACAACTACAACCAAAATCCCTACTTCTGCTACCCAACACAAACATCCCCAAAATGACCAGATATCTATTGGCATCCCTTGATTTCTGTCTTAAGACTTCTCTCCAAAACATCACATGCACTTCCTCCACCCTACAATGCACTGTCTTCTTTCCTACCAGGCTGCTACAAAACCTTGGTGCCAAAGTAGACTGTTTTTTCTATTACTTCCACAATCCAGATAAATCAGCACAGAAAAAAAGAGATATGATCCATTTAAGTGCAGGCATTCACCTCTTCATAGTGTAGTACAAGTTGCTACAGTCTGCCTGGCACCACTTAAGACCTCACTACATACAGTAGATGTCCTTCACTGCAGGAAAGATGAGTTGTTACCTAGGGTTAAAAGAGCGCTAAAGACAGAAACTGGGTTTTAACTCAGGTTAACCACTCACAGTCAACCTCAGGCCCACTTACTTAGTTGAACCAAGCTGAAACCCAATTATTGGACTCCCTTACTATTTAACCAGAGTTTAGCCAAAGCAAGTTAGAAATGCACCATTTTTCTTTTCTCTAAAGCACAGACCTACGCAGTAAATGACATAAAAGGGACTATTTCTCCAACTATTACTCATGACTGCTTATTATAGAATAATATTGTTGCAACACATTTGCAGAACTTTCCTAGTGCCTTTCACCAGCTTTTGGCATCAGAATCAAGGGAGTGGAGGGGATACTCCAGATCTATCCAGGAACCATGACGCTTTACTTCAGTATTTACATCTCAGGAAACCAGGATGTGCTCAACATTCTAGAATCCAAAGTGATTATGAAATAAATTCTGGAGAGAAAAATCACAGGCAGTTTGCCCACTTGCATCCACATTCCCTTTCCCCTCGTTTTGTCTTTATATTAGGAGTTCCTCAAATCAGGGCCTGTTCCCCCTGGGTGCTTGGGAAAGCCTAGCATTTAGCAGGTCAGGCTTTAAACAGGCAAAAATACTCATGACCCTGGGAAATACTGAGGACACCACAGCTAAAAAGATGAGGAACTGATGCAACCCTTTAAAACCCCATCTTGCTCCTTCCTCTATAACTGATGAAAAGGGAGCAGGGTTTTCTTTTCCCACTGCTACTGGAAGTGATGGAAAAGGTAAAACAGGACCAAAAACACCCCTCAGTTACACATGTATGCAGCCCAATAACTAGCACCTGACTACAGCACATTTTTCCAAGCTTGTCTTGACTTGAAAACAACAAACGACGGAGAATCCACTGCTAAATTCTTGGTAGTTTGTTCATCAGGGTTGGAAGGCATCTCAGAAAAATCACATCTAGTCCAAACCCTTGCTCAAAGCAGGACCATCCCCAACTAGATCATCCCAGCCAAGGCCTTAAAGACCTCCAAGGACAGAGAGTCCACCACCTTCGTGGGTAACCTGTCCCAGTGCTTCACCACCCTCCTAGTGAGAAACTGTTCCGTAATATCCATCCTAAACCTCCCTTGCTACAACTTAGAATCACAGACAAATAGAAAGTGAGGGCTGGAAGGGGCCTAGGGAGGTCACCTAGTGCGACCCCCTACTCCAAGCCGGATCATCCCTACAGGACCATTGCCCAGTGAACTATATCACACTATCCTCATAAATTAACTTGCCTACGCACACCGCCACACGGATGTGCCCAGGCACTGCGACACCCATGTGCCTGCACATATATATGCACATATGTATACACGTATGTATACGCGTATGTACACAGCCGCCCTCCTCCTGGGCAGGCCACGGAGCCCGCTGGGCCCGGATTCCACCCCTCTCCCCCACAGCTGACCCCCCGGCACTGACGCGGAGTGCGCGCTGCGCAGGGACTCGATCTGCCGCTGCTTCTGCTGCTGGAGGCTGGTGAGGGCTGGCAGCGCGGCGGGGGCAGCAGCCGGGGCTGGGGCGCTGCCGCCCTTGGCCACCGGGAACAGCCAGTTCATCCTGCCCGGCCCCGGCGCAGCTTCTACCCGGGACCGCAGCGCCCGTCCTACGTCAGCACACCGTGCGCCCGCGCCTTACGTCATCGCCGTGAGCCCGGCGCGACTCGCAGTGGGGGAGGGTGGGGAGGTTCGGGGGCCACGCCCAGCCGCCGTTGGCGCGCGGGCAGGACGCGGAGCGCGATTGGTGCGCGCGGAGCCCGGGCCGGGGTAGGGGGGAGGTCGGAGGGCAGAGTTGAAAGGTCAGGGCGCGGCGCCCCGTGATGATGTAATGGCTTTGTGCGGTGGGGCGGCGGGGGCAGCAGGTTCTCCGCTTCTCGCACTCGCTCCCTGCGCCGGGGCGTCCTGGGGCCGCCGCCGCCGCCGCCGGGCCCAGCCGCTCCCGC